AGAAGCCCAGAAATATTTGTACACTCTCTCTGCTACCCTGCAAAGATTCAGCAATCCATGCATTTGTTTATCTGCCAACCCAGCCTCTCGCTGGAACGCTTAATGTTGTTTAACTTGAAATCACTGACTGAGGTCAATTTGACACTAATTGAAGCAGAATAAATGACTGCGATTTCTTTGTTTTCAATACTTTGTAACCTGAAGAGAACTTGAATCATTCATGAATCATCTATCATTTGCATTCAGACCAAATGCACTATAAACATGTTTCCACATGTGCTCATTCCACTGTGGCGCTGCCAAACAGCAGTCAGAATCCTGCTGAAAGGAAGCTTATAAGATCCCTGTATGATTTTAAGGGGAAATAGCTCTTTTAATCTACGAACAAGAGTCCCAAATGTTGCATATTTATTGTGCCCTTCAAGTTGTATGTATGTTTTTGAGTTAATATTTCATATCTGAGCTTAACCCTGGGAGTTTTTTTTACCCTCTCACAAAATTGGGAGAGTTTATAGGGCAAAATCTGATTAGGTTGAATGTTGTGTGCACTTGTGCCTGTTTCACGTACATGAGCCCCCTCAGTTTTGAATGTGGGTGTGGACTTGCAGACCTCAGCTCAGCTCCGAGATGTAATCTGATTTGCAGAAGGGAATGGGTCGTTTCACATGACTGGTTTAAAAGACCGCTGGCGCAAGGCTGTGCCAGTGTCCCTGATTTGTCTGTGTGTATGTGCTTTTTATTCACATGCTTGTGCATACCGACGCACATACAACTATTATTTGTTTTCACAAAGCACCGTGTGGAAATATGAGTGTTTGTTGGTACAGGCTGCCACACAGTAGAAATGGAAAGGTGTTGAAGTTTGTGGCTCAGCTCAGCGAAATCAGGCTGCTGCATTTATTCCATTGGCCTTGGTTTTAACTGTGATTTGTTTGTGGAAGGTTATGTGAAGTAAGGCCACCGCTAATTAAGAGCCAATTACACATCTGGAAATAAGTATAGAGCTGTGGTTTGCTGTCCGATGCAGGTTTTTGTTTACAGATTTCTGTTTACACATATCTCATAATGAAAGGTTTATTTTGAACTGATGGACAATCATAATCAATGACAAATAATTGAAATCATCTTATGCAGTGAGTTGCAAAAGTATTCATAACCTTCAACCTTTGCACATTTTGTCAGGCTACTGCTACAAACTTTTGTGTACTTCATTGTGATTTTACATTGGCTTACATTGGCATGCATTGTTAAACCAATGCTCTGTTGAACGTCCTTTTTGCAATAACCACAGCAGCAGGTGTTTTGGGGTATGTCTCAACCTTCTACACATCCAGACTGCAACTGAAGTGTCCGCAAATTGTGTTTAGAGAATAGTCAGAGCTGAGCCAGTTTAGATTGGAGAAACATTTTAGAATATATTACCACAAAGGCTCAATTAGATTAAGGCCCCCCCCTTTTAACCTTTCATTTTTGTGTAGTTTATATATTAATGTTTGATGTGTTTTTGGTTTTATTCTGAGGGTTTTTATTTATTTCATTTCACTCTCTAAGGATGCTTTTTGTTCAGCTTATAATGTCTGCCTGGGTTCTATATGCATTCTAATCTTGGTGTCTGGGTTGCATCTTTAATTGATTTTGATTGTATCGTCATATCATACACATTTCTGTTCACCCCAACCATTTCATCTTACCTCTGGCTAGATCAGTGTTGTTTTCCTGTAGGAGGTTAAGCTGGACTCTAGCCTCAAGTCTTTTTTAACAAGGCTTTACTAGAAATACTGTGCTCTGTTTCTCGTAGTCTGATTTATTCTCTCATCAACTCGCCTTGCCTTGCCCTTCTGCAGCATGATGCTGCCGCCATTAGGTTTCACTTTGGGTAGTTTGCTGATGCCTAATAACATTGTTAGTTTTTTTCTGCCATTCACCGCATGTTACATGCACAAAGAAATCATTTAATTTTCCTCACATCTAACCATATCAGATTCTTTCATATATCTCTTGCTAAAGGTAAAGTGCTTTTATGACATTTTACTCTTTTTCTTTTTTGTTCTCCAATGGCTTTCGTCTTTATGGAAGTCCACTTCTTCCATGCCACAAATAATAGATAATGTTAAAACTTTGACAAACAAAGCAGAAGTAAAGAGATTCCTTAATCAAAGCTGTTGATCCCTGCAGCTTCTCCAGACTTACCATGGGCCTCTTGGCAGCTCCTTAGATTAATGAACTTGCCAGTTTAGATGGATATCTATGTTGTGGTAGGTTTGTAATTAAGTTGTATGCTTTCCATCTTTTTTTTTTTTTCAGAAAACTGTGGATTTAGCTCATCGTGAAATTTTCATTAGAGATGGGTCGTAGGACGTAACCGTGCACAAGTGTTTCTGTGTTCTTTGGTCTGTGAAAGAGTAGAATACATATATTTTTTCAGTCTCAAGATCATTTGTGGTGGTTATGTCAAAAACAAGTAGAAGACATGAGAAGAATTAAACGATGTTTGTTGCCACAGGATTCTCAGTGTTTCCATGTATGGTACAGTTAAAAAAAATGTAAAACAGATCTTGTATGTGAGACATGATCTCAGAGTTTTCACGCTTGTCTGGGCTAAACACTTTTGAGAGTGTGCGGTTTGTGTTTGTGTGTTTTCTATCCCGTCTGTGGCAAGCTCATAAGCAGGAAGCTCTGATCCCATCAGGCGTGTCAGCAGGGGCAGCTTTTCATAAGGTAGTAATCTCAGCACACAAAGGGGTGTCCAATATTAGAGAAAGCCCCCACCTTTTAGCTAATCAAGACCTGACCGACCCCTCTACTTGCTCACCAACCTCTCTAAACATTACCTCATCTTGAGGCTCAGCTAAGCTTCATGCACCTCCAGTCATCTGGTGTACATGATCACTCACTTAGCACAGTGTGATAGCTTGGAAACAAAACCCGAAACACAAGAAAGGGCATAAAAGAAGCAAAAGCAACACACAACTACCTGTGGTGTCTAGTGCCAGGGAAAGGTATTTTTAAAAGGAAAGAATCATTTTACCATGTCTTCCAGAAAGTCTGTAAAGCAATTTCCCAGTATTCAGTTTCTCTCCCCACCGTCTTATTATTGCTGTTTTCCCCCTCAACTGCTGGAGCCTTCAACCTGAAAGGAGGTTTTTGAGTTTGGGCTTTGTGTCACTCGGAAACAGTGCATTTGTTGCCAAGGGAACTTGTCTGGGACAGAGAAACCTAGACACATCCAGCACCTTTTGGACTGGAGGAAGAGGGACCTGAGCAGTGATCAGTTCAGCGAGTGCAGCCTCAGGCTCAAATGCATTTGCATCAATGTGTTGGCCAGTACAGACCTGATCCTGGTAACTTTATATAGTATTACAGCTCAGATTAGTATTGTGTAATTAAAAAGTAGAGTGTTGTTGGATACCCTCCGTATACCTTTTTATTTAACAGAGCTGGCAGAGCTAAGTCTCTAATAAAAGTTTTTCTTTTGAATGCCCTTTATGGGGAACTGCAAAAGACCTGAGCTCTGCAATGATCATAAAGTTTCCTCTGGTTGTGAAAGACCAAGACTATTAAGACAGTTCTGGTAGCCCTCAAGATAACTGTTGTAATTTGCTGCCAACATGAAGGAATCACAATGCATGCTGCTCTTCAAAAGACGTTAAATAACTGTATCAGCATTGGCATGACTGAAAACAAGTTATGGTTGATATCTGTTTTAAAGTATAGGGGCAGGGGAATAAAATGAGAAGATTTAAAATCTTAGGGTAAATCAACAAATTTTTTAATGTTTATATTTAACTTTCAATTTATTTTTTATATTTATTTTTTTTTTCATAACACTGAAAAAGGCTGTTATGTGAAGTGCACTGTAAATAATATACAGTATTATCATTGTTATTTTTAGAACAATTATTGTCATTAGTACCACCGCCAACATAGCGTAGCACCTTATCTCTCTATTACGGCCACTCTCAGACTGCAAAACATGCAATCTCCTCATTTTGATGAGGTGGAACCAAACCGCTTTGCACGTCTAAATATTTGTGCAGAAATCTATGTAGATTAAGGCCATTTGTTGGACCTGTAAAAACAAAATTACACATGCAGTTTAGCGCCATTTTTATTTATATATTTTAAAGATTTGGCCCTACTTGAAGTAATAATGGACGCTTTTATTTTAAATGTCTATAAAAAAAAAAAAAAAAGACTGTCACATCTTGTAAGGGAATCATTGGCTTCCTATTGTATTTTGTTGTTCTTCAGCACTCTGTGCCAGGTTTCAAAAATTTATTATCTCCTGAGAATTATACCAAAATACGACAAGCAGAATACATGAAAGTCTACTTTGCCCTTTCTGTGACTAGGGAAAGAAAATACTAGACATTTGTAATGTGATCTAAGATTAATGACATTAGTCATTTATATTTGTTATAATATAATCGAACTCTTCACCATGATTGTATTTATTTTTAAAAGAGTTTGTTAAATATTTGGGAAAAAGTACTGAATTTGTATTTCAGATTCAATATGCACAGTGATGGTAAGTCGGAAATTGAAATATGTTCCTTTACAGAGTTAATTGTTAATAAATCTATAGCTTTTATGGAATCATGAAAAAGCTTTATGAAATGACCAAATTCAGACCTTTTAGTAAGTCATATACATGACATCAAGCATCAAATAAATGCATAATGTGAATAAAACTAACAACAATACTCAGTTTTTGGCCAAACATCAGATATTCAGCTCTACAATCTGTGGTTGTTATTTTAGTGGTTGTTTGAGCTCTTTCATAAATCAGTCTTCCCATTCAATCTTTGTCTTATCTTTGGTTACGTTTCCTTAAAATGAGGCCTTAGTCACTCCCTACCTGGAACTGCGTGAAAACAAGCTGGGGCAAAGCTGACCTAGGCTGGATTTTAATCATCACATTTCTCTTTAATCTATAATACCCTCCCATCAAGGAATGCCCTTCTGAATCATCTTATTCTCACATCTTTTATCTTTTTCAGGCTACCCCAGGTGAGCAGGGAAAAGAGGCTGACTAATGGAAACATAATCTCAATGGTTTTAGAAGGTAAGGATGTCTCTGATTTATCTTTAATCATCCCTGAATGGGCTATTTGTTTACACACATTGCAGCCTTATTACTAATTCTGACAGTTGCCACACACAGCTCCAATCTGTTGGGTACTGTAACAGAGATTGTGAGATGCATAAGGTCATTGTGTATCATCAGGGTAACAGCACAGGATTGATACTTTTTTGCTTTTTAATTGTGTAATTAAAGTCATGACAGCAAAGTGAAGAATGCAATGGCACTGAGATATCACTTCAAACACACATTCTGTCAAGAAGCTCAGATACTTTCAGTGGAACTGAATAGACATGCTTTGATGACCCACCGCAGAGTCGGTGGCTTTCAAAGGAACCCGTTGATGGGATTGTGCAGGGCATCCAGAGCGCTGAATGACAGGTACTGTATCAGTGCGTCTCTCAGAATGGTAGTGGGTGTTCTCAGTGGAGGTCAAACAGCATTGACCTCAAGATCAGTACGCATTTTCTATAGTTGTTTTTCAGCTCATAAAATCTTCTTCTACCATCTAGTTGGTTGTCTTAGTAAGTGAAGGGGAACAGTGTATAGGTGGCTGGGCGCCAGCAGACGGGTACAGTAGATGGGCTTATGGAGGAGGGTGATAGGGGCTGGCAGCCGTAACTGCAGCCCCAGGCACAAATAGATGTACATGGACAGGCACATACTCAAAGGCAGGTTGGGACCTGGATTCTATGCACTGATGCTGCTCTCATGGCTGCACTCCAAGATGAGGCACAGGAAAGAAACGTGGGAAGGGAAAAACCAGACTTGAAGCCAGACAAAGAAAGAGATTCAGAAAAAAAAAAAATAAAAAAGCAGAATCTAACCAGACAGCAAGGAATGGTAGTAGATTTGAACAAAATTCACTGATTGGATAGTGTGAATAGGTCTGTGAGTTAAACTAAAAGGAAACAAGGAAACACTGCAAGAGTGAGGTCACATCCTCTGCACTAGAGGAACGTGACTCCTTGCAGGTAAACCAGTACATCAGTGCAAACAAGCAGAAAAGAAGATGAGAAATAGTGATGGATGAGTATTTATCTTTTGACACATTGTTCCTTCCCTTTCGACGAAGATGGGGCGGGACGAGCCGGTCACACCACTTTGCTGCCATAACAGCTGCAGGGTTGAGTGGCTGCGGTGCGGGGGTGGATGGCATTATGTCATTTTTTTAGGAAGATTACAACAACAAGAACAGGTACAGCAAAGTCTAGGTTTTCAAAAGGCCACCTACCTGCAATACGCAATCTGATTTCACTCTCTGACCTCATCTTTATCTTTACCAATTTCTTTTGTAGGGGCCTCTTCAAAACGTTTAGATAAAATTGGTATAGATATTTTTTTAGGCGCCGTTTTAAACTTCTAAATTAAATTGGTATACATAACACACATAGATGTTCATACATAGATGTTCTTTCCATCTTTTTTTTAACCTTTGAAACGACTTGATGAGGCTAATGTATATGTGTTTGTATATATTTTTAAAAACCTTTTTAAATTAATTCTAAATTCTAGGGCTGCACTAGCGATTCTTCTGCTAATCGATTAATCTGTCGATTTTGTTCCTGATGAATCGATTAATAATCGGATAACCAAAGGTTTCTTAAAAAGACTTTTTATCAAATTAAACCAGGTGAAACTAATACGTTTCAACCTTACCTTTTTTTTTAATCTTAAATGCAAAACATGTATTTTTTACAATCTTGGTATAATTATTGCTCTAAGTGGCTTGCTCTGCCAGCTAGAGGCATACTTTGAAGTCTTTATACTCAAGGTTATGATTAATCAATTACTAGATTAGTTGACAATTATAAAAAAAACGATTAATCTCGATTGATGGTTTCAGCCCTAATAAATACAATAATTGAGTTTCACCTTACTTGTATAAATACATCTTATTGACGCATGGGGTCTTGTAAATAACATTTTTTAAAGAAACACAAATTACTAGTCGGTATTTAAGTATTTGACTTAGAAAATTAAATAAAAGTCAAGAGATTATATACTTTTAATGTAATATAACTTTTAAAATGACTAGAAATGTTAGAAGGATGTCCAAGCATGTGTTCTTTTGTGGCACTAGTCCATCCTAACTCTCTGTATCATGTTTCCAGGATGGCACCTAATAACGAGTTGGACAGCTGCCTTGCATCCCCTTGAGGCAGATGTTCGCTCTTGGAACGACAGATGACAGAGGGAGCTACTTCTTTGACAATCTAGCTGTCAGGATCAAGCCAGGAGTCGAACTTGGAAAAAAGCTGTGACACAAACTCAAAGGCAGAGCGGAGAAGATTCAGCAGCTCAGACACTGTGGAACACATCTGTCAACATCTGGATACACACTCAGTAGAAAAATCGATGTAATGAATGTACTGATGCCACAGTTACATCAACCATCGACACATTGTTTGGCTTTCTCATTTTTTCCTGAAATGAACTTGGATAAATATTGTTTCTGCGTGTGCATCTGCTCCTGATTTTCTGTATTTTTTCATACTGTGACATTTATTCTTGACATGGTGTAAACCAACTGCTGGAAATTTTAAAAGATATTAATCAGATGGACTTTAAACCTTTATACTATTGTTTTCATATACAAAGTACTTAAATTCTGTTCAGTGTCCTAGCAAAAAAAACTTTTATAGCCATTGAACTTTTACAACCACAAATCTCAAAATATTGTAATGGGATTTCATATCAAACCAAAACAAACAAAAGTCGTCCATAGATGCAAAAGGAAGAGGAGGCATGGTTTAAACAGTTTCCCAGGTAGAAATCTGCAAAGTGAGGCATATATATGCATTTTACTTTCTGTTTCAGTTAAACTTTCAAAGTGTTTTTTTATACCTCTATCAACTCCCCTCATCAGAGAGGGACATTTTTGCAGTATAGCAGTATACCTTGAACTTTATCACACTGAATGGTGAGTGTCTGTATAAGTCCATTTTGAAGTTTACTTAAGGTTCCTAATTAGATTTAGGTCTTGACTTTTATATTTCAGCTTATAAATATGTTTTCATCCAAATGAGGGATCTATAGACATAATTGATCTGACTGGATGTTAATGGTCTTTGTCCTTCTGAAAGTTAGCCCTGATTAGCCTCTGCTCTAATCTCCATTATTCTGCAGTCTCTAACAGGTGTTGTTCCAGGATCGTCTTGTATGTAGCTCCATCCATTTTTGCATTTACTCTGACCAGGTCCTTGCTAAACAACTGCAAGCCACTGCTGCCATAGTTTGCCATAGGGACAGTTCAGTTTCAGTGTTCCACGTTTTGAAGGCGGATTATATCTTTTTTGAAGATGATCAGAGCAAAGGAGGATTAAAAATGTATGCATGCTGCACACAATGCATCCTTTATTTTAAAGTTTACAATTACTCCTTCTCTGTGTTCCCAATAAAATGCATTGGAATGTAAAGTTGTGAACAATTTTGCAGTGCTGTTAACTTTTTAATGCACTAAAAAAATTAACTTGTTTGTGATTAAGGTGCTGCCCAGCACCTGTTTATTCAGTGGAATTAAAACTCTTATCTTCCAGTTACCTTCACAAAGACGCTATTGTCTCAAGTTTTGATGAATGCAAACTGAAAACACTCCCAACAGCATTTCTTTGTGACACATTGGCAAACCTTTAATGTAGGCTGAACATTTCTCGCAAACTGTTAATTCTAATTATGATTTATTGCTCTGCCACTTGTGTTGTGACTGGAGAAACCTGCCAGGAGAAATAGAAAAGGGTATTTAAACTGCTTTCTGTTTGTCTTCTCACTGCACCTGAAGATTTATCAGACCAATAAAGTGGATATTTTTTTAATGATTGTAACACATCTCTTCTATTCCTGTTATTAATAAGTTTAAATTTAGCATAGTTTTTTTGCAGTCAAAACGGCTTGTCTACTTCCCTTGACATGATTACTGTTAATTATTCTAAAGGTACGATGAGGGTTTTGTTTAAAAGCTATATACTATATGCAGTTATGCATTTTGTGAAACACATGGCTCACTGTACAGCTCATATCCAAAGCCAAAAAGCAATCTCCTTGGCTAGAAAAATGACATAAATCTACTGCCTGTCATGATTTTTTTTTTTTTTTGGTTGTTCTGTTTCTGTGGGGGATTAATCATACAGAATACATTTTTATGGTCAAAATTACACAAGTTCAGATGTATAATTGCATTTTCATTAATAACCATCCACCACTAATAAAAGGTGAGTATAGGCCAATTTGGGACAAGATAAGACATGTGTTTTCTAAGCATCGTCAAGTTTCTGGTAAAATTCTAGCTGGATAGTTGACTACTCCTCATTAAGAAAAAAAATACATTTCATATTCACGGACTGATTTCTTTGCACAGAATCAGCTTTTTCTAGGAGTGCTCCATATCTGCTCAGTAGTTTTTAAACCAGCCCTTTTTTGAAAGCAATTCTAAAAGCACTTGATTTGTCTTCTTCATATGATACAAAAGCATTTATTGTTTGTTTTGGATCTTTTTCCTGTTTTGAGTACCATCTGAGCTAACCCCTAGCCCCAAATAAGCACACTGAGAGGCCATACGCTATCTGGAGTAAGATTTCAAGGTCGTGGTAGACTACAATGGTTAGAATAACGAAAAGTATGCAAAAATAGGTGCATGAATAAATGCAAGAAAAATCCAGCAACTAACAAGTTGGTTTTGGTAGCATAATGATGAGGGTCTGTGTGTCTGTCAATGTCATGGGAAATAATGCAGCAGTGAAATTATTTGGCTTCACCTTAATGAAAGTTCTACAGGATTGAAACATTGTCACAATTTGATATTATAATAGGAAGGATTCCATGGGCACATTTAAATCAATTACAAAATGGGTAAAGAATGAAAACTTTAAGTCAACTAATGTGATATTTCTCCAAGTTGCCACGAGACATTATTGGGTTGTATGCATAAACATGAATGCACAATTATAATCCTGAGTAAAAAAGAGAAAATCAATCTAATTCTTTTATTCAGGATTTCAGTCGTCACCTGCACAGGTTTGTTATGTTATCTTTTAATAAATTAATAAATTAATGAAATAAAATGTAAACTGAAAATATATCTTTGTAGTTGCAAAACAAGCAAAAGAGGAAGACCCTGGAGATGATACTTGGTTATAGTGTTGAAGGACGTGGAGGCGGTTGGAGGCAAAAGATATGGTGAGATGAAAACAGCTGATTTGCTGCAGCTGAAAGAGGGAGGAGAAAACAGTTTGGAGTTAAAATGTATGAAACGGTGAAGAGGAATAGATCGGCATTTACAACATGATGTTTTCTGCTGATGTATCTCATATCATTTAGTATGTATGATGTAGACACAGAAGTACCTTATGCTAAATGCTGGGGATTTTCTTTACCAATCAAATAACAAAATCCCCAAAGGGCTTTTTCACATGTAGAAACTGATTTCAGTTTAAGCTGTAAAGACAGTTGTTGTTTTTTTTTTTTATATCAGTCTAAGTCCAGCAAGTCACTTCCTTTTTTTAATGTGATTCACTGTCGATGTCTATGTAGAATAGAGGCTTCATTCCTATGAGGGAAGGAGTGTGGGTGGAGGTGCTGAGGGTGCGGCCATCGTTTGAGGATTTGCATATTGTCTTTCTTTGCAGCTAATTAAAACAAAGCTAAATGAATCCTGCTCCAGGTTCTTGGTTTTAACAAGTTTTGTCAAGTTTCATATAGATTTATTAAAAATTTTATCTGAGTGAGACAATATACATACATAGATGGCGCTCTCACTGATGTTTTGTAACTCGAACTTCATGGCATCTTTATGGATCTGCTTATGGTCAACAACATTAGCATGTCCACAATACATTTCTCTGCTTGTCTACCTCCCCTGCTTCTTTTTTTTTTATTTTTTTTTTCACACGCATGCATATAAACACAACTATTGGAAGAGGGGGGGCGGGTGACCTCTATGCAGCTCTCAATTCACTGCACTTCTATAGCTTTGAATGGAGCGGCTCAACAAAAGGTGACATAATTTTCTCAGGGTTTGATTGGCCCCCTCCATGCCACAAGATGACATCATATAGCACCCACAGCAACACATTAAAACTACCACCAGTACCCTCACCCCTCTCCTCCTAGATGGGTTGTAAAGACAAGAGTGCTGGGCCTGGGCGGTGGGGCAGGATTTGGCAATAAACTGCATTGCAGCGTGGCTGTCCATAATGAGCCCAGGCAGCGCCGCTCTTGTGTTTGTGGTAAACAGTCTTGGGAAATGATACAGAAGGACGGAAAGAAGAGGGGCGGGGTTGTGAAACACATTTTTGGATATAATCACTGATTTCTCTTGAAGCTTTTAAGTTAAGGTAACGTTAGGCAGACAGAAAATGGAACAAACTTATTCACACATTTTATTGACAGCCAACATAACATGGACTGTTGACTTCTCTATTTAAAGCAGACCAATAAGTTGTCATGAGCAACATTTTATTTAACTTGAAAGGATGGGAATATCTAGAGCTTCCTTAGAGTCTGTGTAAAAACATCACCACATAATCATAGAGAACTATATAAGTACCAAAGCTATGATGTGAATTAAAAGCGTGTCCATCACACCCAAATTTAACAGTGTAATGATTTTTCAACTTGCTTTTTATGGCTTCCTATTAGTTTCTGAACTCTCTATTCTAAGAATTGGGCAATTTTAGGTATATGAGACGTGAGAACTGATCAGCCAATCAGAGACAGACTTGGAAATGTAAAGGATATAAAAAAATAAGTTCAAAATTATTTTCAACTGCATTCCTTTAAGTAAAAAAAAAGAAGATAAATTATATTAAAATATTCTTGACAATCAAACCCTTTCGCAACTTGAAACATTCTTAACATGCAAGTTTAAAACATGTTATACTTTTATAGAGAATTTAATATTAAAAATGAATTTTTTAAAATCTTTCTTTCACTTTATATTTTTGAGGGTTATGGTAAGTGTCATTCAAATTTTGCGGCGCTAAACCACTTTAAGTAAATATAGACAAATGTTTCTTTAGATCTTAATCTACTGTAGGTACAGTATAAAATTGCCCCTTCATTACATTTAAAGGATATAAAATACAGAAAATAGGCAAGCTGACTATTTTTTTAACTGATATGAATGGTAAACATATTATTTCTTGTTTTTCTTCTCAAACTGGTTCTGTTTGTTTTTAATTATGCCGGTTTGTTTCTAGAGTCAAGAGTCTGACTAATTGTTGTTTACTACATTGAATTACCTAGATTTGATAATGAACTGCTTTTATTTTCCTGTCCATAATTTTAAGATGTGGGAGTATTTTGCATTATTCCCTATTCAATCAATTTATATATATTATGAGGTCATGGTCTTTCTAAAGTCTCAAAATCAGGAGAAGTACCACTGGCTGACAAAATGTGTAAAATTTACCAAAAATGCTCATTTTTATGTTGGTGTTCATCCATTACCCTTACAGATCATATTAGCATCACTGACATACAAGTGGCCACTTCCTCTTGGAAATGTCATTAATGAGGATAATTTAAAGTGAGGTTAACATGCTGCCCAGAGCCAAACCCTGTTGGTTCCCAACACTCCTACAGTATAGATGCCTTTAAACACACTCCAAACCATTTCCTCAAATTGGTGTGGTATTCAAAGGGAAAGAAAAATTACGAAATTACCGCTTGGTTTTGGAACCGGTCCATGCTTCATGTTGATTGTTACTTTTTTTTGCATTTAACAGTCTTGTGAGATGCATGGTATTGCTTGTGTTGGTGTACATTCAACCTGTTTAAATATTTTCTTTTGTTTCTTCTTCCAAACTGCTCTCTGTCCATCCTGACTATTATATTTCCCATAAAGAGGTCCCTCTGGAAGAACTTTTTTTTTTCTCTGTTCCTACTGTTTCCTCTGCGTAGTGTGATTAACTCTTGGTAGCCTCCTCTTTGGACTTGCTTGGATAGTAGAACTGCTCTCGTGTTAGTTTTTTAAACTTGGAAGAGCACTGACTGGGTATTGGTTACTTTTGGCATGAAGAGGATGCGTGGGCTGCCAGTGTCTATGACGCTGAAACACTCAGTTCTTCCTGCATGAGAGAAATGGTGGGAATCTGTTTCTTATTCATCGCTATATAATTTTTCCACAATTGTTCTTTAAAAAGGTTTGAGGTTGATTTTTTTCCAAAATCTTTTTGATTGCTCTAGTGCTTTTAGAATTAACCTTGACTTTGTAATAATACTTCCACCAGAAAAACACATGTAAACAACCTGGTTGTCAAATAGTGTTACAATTAAAGTTTTGAAAATGTGATCTGTTTATTAGTATTTACTCCCAACCTTAAAGAACAAAATTCCTAACATTATTTCAACATTATCTTAATGTAAAAATTTTAAGGAAATATATATTAGGGATAAGGGATCTAGGTGGGTTTGCAGTTTTTTGTGTATTTATTAAGAAAAAAATGCGATTTTCCATATTTCTGTATATTTACAGATGATGAACTGACCACTGCCATATGTGACATTTGAATGTTGGGATGTTTGATTAGCTTTAGCTCTCTCCACATCTTTATTGCTCTCGTGCTTTAATTGTTCTCTATGATGTTTATTAATGAGGTTCTCTGATGTATCAATTAGGCCTACTATACACCTCTATTTATACTGATGAAATTTACAAGTGGATTCTGGTTAATTATTAGGGGACAACTGGAGGGCATTTTATCCTCTAATCCATGTAACCATTTTCCTTTCAGTTTACAATCATGCACTAATCTATGTTGCCCGATTAAAATCCCCTAAAATACGTTAGGCGGGTGCAAAAACCCCTGCAATGTGCTGTACTTCC